TATTCCGTGTAATAATTTTGTTTTCAATTCTCTAATTCCACACTATCTACCGCTGTTTATAACTATTTTGTTAGTACTATAATACACTTTTAATGTTTGAACCGTATTTCACAGACCATTTAATCTATGACTAACATATCTTATTATAACTAATTGCGGAGCACTTGGCAGGCTAAAATGGGACAAAAAGAGGCCAATACGAAATGTGAACATAAACTGTTTAATAAATGAAACTTTTTTATTTATTTATTTTTATTTATTTATTTAGAGATTTCCGTCACGSTACTAGATTTACAAAAACAAAAACAAGAGGCCAGTAACGTGACGAGGGGAGAGCGAACGSACACGAGGTCCCGACGAGGCTCCCCCCAAAACAAGACAATTTACAAATTGACATGACATTAAACATAGAACGAAATAGTGGATAAAGTCTAACAGCAGTTCATTCGGAAGGATCTGCAATTTGGGCTTCCATGTCCTCACCCTATAGGGGTCGAAGTCTGATTCAAGTTTAGAATAGTACATGTTTAAAATTTCTTTTTTGAGGTAGATTGTTCCATAATAGCATAATTCTGTTAAAAAAGTAATCGCGAAAAAGGGTGGCCTTGAAGCGCCTAGGACGAAGGTTGATTGCTGTCGAGGCATTCCTGCCGCGATTTATAAAAGAAAGATTTAGAAAGATTGGAACCGCCAACAAACGAAATGTCTATTCACGGGTATCCCAAGCTCTTTACTTGATATAAGAGAATTTATTATATATATAACGAGACTTTCATAGAGTAAATGGCATAAATAAAAATCTGAAAATCCAATCAGAAGCGCGTATAGCATTTTTTCACATGTGAAAATATAACAAATCATAAACACAGAAAAACCGTAATCAGCCAATCAGAAAGCGACGTTCACAAAACTGAAATGGTTTCTCTCACATACCGGGCGTTGATGGCAAAGTGGCTGAAGATGAACTGTGTTTGTTGATCAAAATTCCACATTTGAAGAGTTTATTAGTGGACAGGAAGGCAAACAAACTAAAGCAAAGTAAGAAGAGATGTTTTTCTTCAAGAGAATTAAGTTTTTTGCCATCCAGAATGAACATGAAAGCATGGAAAACATCAGCCGAAACTATAACTTAAACGAACAGTAATTTGTCTCGTTGGTGTTCACTGAGTTCAGGCCGTTTCATACCAAGTTTTGATCGTTTTCTGCAAAATTTAAACTTATCTCCATGCAATATAGAAAGACAGGACTTCAGTAAGACAAGAGATGTACCTGTAGGAAAGCAAAATAAGCTCAAACAAAGACGGAAATTGCAGCGCGTTATATTRCATACCGACCAAGAGAAGTAGTTTTCTCGGCGAAGAACTGTTATTTGTTCTTCTACTTACTATAAAATCTCACGAAAACTTGGACGTTCCTGCAGCTTAGTGGAAAGTAAGACTATTAATTTAGTTGTTTTTTTTCGTAAGCCTTAAGTTTTATCAAGTTTTAATATTAAGTTTAATTTTCTGTGCTTTTTTCGACATAAGCTCATTGAGTTTGTTTCTTAGAATAGTCGAATAAGCTTATTAAAAAGTATTCCGAATGAAAGTCTCGTTATATATATAATAAACAGCTTATAGCCTGGAAAGTGCTTTGTACGGTATTTTATTCACTCGTTGTTTGCATCATAAACTCACTCGCTCGTTCCTCGCTCGTTCGTTGTATGATGCCAACAACTCGTGAATAAAATCCCGTACGTCGCACTTTCCATGAAATAAACTCTATGTATGTGAGTCTATGTAAAAAGTCGATTTATAGCATGAATATACAATAATTACGCTATTAGCTGCTGTGTGGATTATTATAGCTACCGGTAATCTCTGGAGGCGATTTTCAAAACTTTTATGAATCTTTTTCCCCTCTTACTATAATCTGTGACAGGGTAGGAATCGAAGTCCTCCATATCGACATCGAACAGCTCTAAATTTGGTCGATTTGTTGGTCGAAATTCGAATCCTAGCGCAATGTACCTCTGCACGAGGTTAGCTATTTATGCAGTTAGGATCGCAGTTAGGATCGCAGTTAGGATCGCAGTTAGGATCCCTGTTAGGATCCCTGTTAGTGCAAAATGTTTATAATTGTCACATTTTTCATTTTAGTTTAATTTTAGTTCGTGTTAGACATTGGCTAGCAATTTTTTTAACGTTAGCTTAAACTTCTTGAAATAAAAAAGTCTTACTATAGTGTTGACTTTTTTAATTTTCACAAGTACATGTACAGTATATGCATCATAATACATGTAATATTATAATCATAATCAGTTTAAACTTTCTGCTCACGGCAATATCAGCTAACAATATACAGTAGATTTTATTCTTGGGCAATTGGTATTATTCGTCTAACAGCTGACAGGTTTCCCATGCAGTTTCTGTAAAATCTTCCAAACTCCAATACATTTCGGTCAGTTTGCACACAGTATCCTACACGATAAGTGCGTAGAGCGTTTAAATTGTCTAAATTGCCAGTGAGAAAAATATGTATAATCACTGATCAGTTGTACTTTCCATTGAATTGGCTCGTACACGATCGCCATTCTGTTTTCCAGCTTTGAGTATGAAATGATCAACTGAAGAAACACTTTTAACGAAGTCATCCGCCATTTAT